GAGAGGCGGAGGAGGAGGGGGGAGAGGGGAAGAAGAGAGGGGAAGAAAAGAGGGGAAGAGGGAGTGGAGGAGAGATACAGGAAGAAAGAGATGGTTGTGATGACTGACTGTATATTTTTCACCTAGTTGTGCTTGCGGGGGTTGAGCTCTGCTCTTTCGGCCCGCCTCTCATCTGTCAATCAACTGTTTCTACTACTATTTTATTTATTTATTTATTTTTTCCCCACACCACACACACACATACCAGGAAGCAGGGGTTAGGGTGCAAGAAACCTCTGCCCATCGTTTCTCGCCGGCGGCCGGGATCGAACCCATGACCACAGGATCACGTGACCAGCGTGCTGTCCGCTCGGCCACCGGCTCGGCCACTGTGTGCTCACCTGTGTGTGCGTGTGAACGTTGCTCTTGGACCCCGCCTTTTCCAACCGGCGGGTGTCTATATCTTGTTATATCTAATAGACCAACTACTTGCTATCCCCAGAGTCTCACGTGCCTATTTAAGGCTAGGTGAACAGAAGCATAAGGTAAAAGGAAACAGTACAAGTATGGCCAAGTATACATAGGTATAAACCTGTCCCCCCTCATTGATAACAGAGTTAGCGTAGTCATACATAAATCCTTCAAGTCTAACAGTATATACATAAAGTTGGCCCTCAAAACTAAAAAACACATACATATTCGTAAATTTAAAACTTGTTGGTGGTAAAATATACATATTCATAAGGATTACCAGTACTAGCAAATTATACATATTCACAAACTTATCTTCAATACAATTTTGTAATACATAAGCCTGTCGCACCGAGCAAAATTTTGTTTTATCATGGACAAAGACATATGAAAACCTTGTCAAAGTCTCTGTTTCACATCCAGTGTGTGTGTCTCACTAGGATGTGAACTACCAGTCTGGTAGCAGCCAGTCTGGTAGCAACCAGTCTGGTAGCAGCCAGTCTGGTAGCAGCCAGTCTGGTAGCAGCCAGTCTGGTAGCAGCCAGTCTGGTAGCAACCAGTCTGGTAGCAGCCAGTCTGGTAGCAACCAGTCTGGTAGCAGCCAGTCTGGTAGCAACCAGTCTGGCAGCAGCCAGTCTGGTAGCAACCAGTCTGGTAGCAGCCAGTCTGGTAGCAGCCAGTCTGGTAGCAGCCAGTCTGGTAGCAGCCAGTCTGGTAGCAGCCAGTCTGGTAGCAACCAGTCTGGTAGCAGCCAGTCTGGTAGCAACCAGTCTGGCAGCAGCCAGTCTGGTAGCAACCAGTCTGGTAGCAGCCAGTCTGGTAGCAGCCAGTCTGGTAGCAGCCAGTCTGGTAGCAGCCAGTCTGGTAGCAGCCAGTCTGGTAGCAGCCAGTCTGGCAGAAGCCAGTCTGGTAGCAGCCAGTCTGGCAGCAGCCAGTCTGGTAGCAGCCAGTCTGGTAGCAGCCAGTCTGGTAGCAACCAGTCTGGCAGCAGCCAGTCTGGTAGCAACCAGTCTGGTAGCAGCCAGTCTGGTAGCAGCCAGTCTGGTAGCAGCCAGTCTGGTAGCAACCAGTCTGGCAGCAGCCAGTCTGGTAGCAACCAGTCTGGCAGCAGCCAGTCTGGTAGCAACCGGCTGGAGCTCCATCACAACAGGCTGACTGTTTATGCAACAGGAGAAAGAAACGTCACCCATAGCTCAGTGCTCCAATCTTAGAGGTGTTGGGAAGTAACTTTGAAGTCCTTTATATATGTATTCTTTGAATTGCTGATCGTCGATGGTTTCTTGAGACCCTGTGAAGCTGAGAGTCTTAGACGAGTCTTGTTTCCACCTTGGTCTCTAGTTCAGCTACGCCATCGGAGAGCTTCCAGGAGACGGGGCCGCCTCTTGCCAGGGACCATGACGTCCTCGGGGGACAGCGCCTTCGCTCTACGGCTGTAGGAGGAACGGAAATGTCTCAAGTCAGATCATGGCTTTACAAGGAGCTGCTTCCCGCACTCTTACGTGGCAGCTTAACAGCCGCGCGTGCCTTGTGTTCTAATTACTGCAATGTTGAAGTAATCAGTTTGTTTAAAGTAATGTTTATTGCGAGTTAAAGACAAATATTTATGCTATAATAATAATGTTAACACCCGAGTTAAAACCATTAAATCTTAAATGATCTTCTTAAAGCGACAATGAAGAACTAAACATAGAGGCAAGATTCCTTACGAGGTTAACGTGAGGTTATTAAGATATACATCATCACTTGTAAGTTCACAGCAAGACCCTCTAACATCACATTAAACGGGTTAGCAAGGTGTTAGTTAGCAAAGTGTTAGTTAGGTGTTAGTTAGCAAGGTATTAGGTCAAGGTGCTTCTTAAGACATGTAATCAACACGGCCTATGGGCTAATTTCTGCCCGTTCTCGTAAGATGGCCAGACGTGCTAATATGAATACTCTTGAATCCCAAAAGTTCACGTTTTAGCACAAGTGGTGGTCTAGAAAAATGGGAAATGTACCTAAAGCACCTTAAATTACCAATCCGAGCAATCCTGAGCCTAATGCATGCTATCTGTCTCCAAGTCCATAAATAAGATCATTAAAGACTATATAGTTTCAACATCTTGAGTACAAACGAGTACTTATACTGGAGAAAGACGAATGAGACGCCACTGATGTAGTCTACATTAAGCGCCAGCATCCCGGGCAAGCTCTCACGGATACAGATGCTGTGGCTCTTGATGAACATGATGCTGATAATGTAGAGATGAACTCTCTATCATCCGGGAGGATTGTACTGGAGGCTTACCCTGACGAAAGCGGCGTCGCTGGCCTGGCCGTGCCTCCCGTGGCTGTACTGCGGGTACCTGACGTGGAAGGGGGTCCTGGCCCTGGTATCTGGAAGGGGCGGCAGGTTGGCACTGCCCCAGATGGGGTCGTGCTTCACCCCGATCGACTCCACGCCCAGTATCGAAGGAACATTGTCCGGGAGATGTGTAGTCGGGTAGTCGGCATCAAGGTCGTCCTGGTCGTGTCTGCACCGTCTCGCTCTCCTGGTGGCGGGTAATGGTGGTAGTGACACCACTGAGTAATATGAGTAAAGGGGACACTCACACCAATGAGTAACTATTCAATAAATAGATGAGCTCAGTGCAATGAATAGAGGCAACGAGTACCGTGAATAAAGAGACCTAGAAATTCATGATATTCGCCCTTCATTAGCATGAGTGAAGGGCGCCGCTGAGTAAGATGAGTGACCATGACAGGTTGAGAGAGACACATACCTCATACACACCCCCCCCCTCCCCCTCACAACTCACCTCACCAGACACTCACAGCCCAGAGCGCCCGCAGCCAAGACGATGCCAATGGCTCCCAAGACGTAGGTGGTGTAGAAGTCCTTGTTCTGGAGGCTGCGGTCCTTGAAGCCCTTAGGCATGGTGCAGATGGGGCTGTTGGAGGTCACGTTGTCGTGGAGGAAGTTCAGGATCCCGAAGAACGCCAGTCGTCGGAAGCTGAAGTGTTGTAATCCACAAGTTAGTAGGAATTATTAGCTAGAGGATCATTACTACAACACTTAACGAATGATGATTGGAAGTACATGTTAAGTAGACAGACTATGGATCTAAGACAAATTAATAATTCCTGGAAAGAGGAATTATTCTTCGCCTTCTTCGACAGAAGGAGTGAGGGGGAACGACTGATTATGAGGTGAAAGGGGGGGGGAGAGATTCAGGGGTCAAGGGGAAGGGAGGGAACTATCAGGGGAAAAGCCAGTGCGACTATACAGCACTTGGAAGGGGTCAGGATAAGGATTTGGGATGGGACGGGGGGAAAGGAATGGTGCTCAACCACTTGTGGACGGTCGGGGGATTGAACGCCGACCTGCATGAAGCGAGACCGTCGCTCTACCGTCCGAGGGGGGGGGGGATGATAATAGGAGTTAAGGGGGGTAATAATGTTTAATAGGGAGATAAGGCTTGTTTAATGACATTGAGAGTTAATGGTTTTCTCCATTTAATGATGGTTAAATTATATATGTATTTACTTCGGTCCTCTCTCACTGTTAATATTTTTTGGGGTTAACAAGAAAAATCGTAATCCACCCGCCTCATCCACCCGCCTCATCCACCCGCCTCATCCACCCGCCTCATCCACCCGCCTCATCCACCCGCCTCATCCACCCGCCTCATCCACCCGCCTCATCCACCCGCCTCATCCACCCGCCTCATCCACCCGCCTCATCCACCCGCCTCATCCACCCGCCTCATCCACCCGCCTCATCCACCCGCCTCATCCACCCGCCTCATCCACCCGCCTCATCCACCCGCCTCAACCACTCGTCTCATCCACCCGCCTCATCCACCCGCCTCATCCACCCGCCTCATCCACCCGCCTCATCCACCCGCCTCAACCACTCGCCTCAACCACTCGTCTCATCCAACCGCCTCACCCACCCGCCTCACCCACCCGCCTCATCCACCCGCCTCAGCCACCCGCCTCATCCACCCGCCTCATCCACCCGCCTCACCCACCCGCCTCATCCACCCGCCTCACCCACCCGCCTCACCCACCCGCCTCATCCGCCTGCCTCATCCACCCGCCTCATCCAACATAAGTACCAGGAGACACCTCTTAGAGAACTGAGCGGGTACTAACAAGCCGTTGAAGAGCGGGGTCAGGTCGCTGCCCTTGCGGAAGCCGTACCCGAACCAGAAGACGAAGTCGACGTCGTCGCCGCTCGCCAGGGGCGTGGAGTAGAAGCTGCACGTCTCCTTGGCTCCCACACGTCGCTGCGTCTTGAAGTCCTCCTGCATGAGGTGGTCCAGAACCTGCATGTCGTCGATGTAGACGTAATCTGTTGGGGGTGATAGGGTGATAGGATGATGGCGTCGTGTCTCTACCTCCCTGACACTCTACCTATAGCTCTCTACCTCCCTGCCAGTCTACTTAAAGCTCTCTACCTCCCTGCCAGTCTACTTATAGCTCTCTACCTCCCTGACACTTTACCTATAGCTCTCTACCTCCCTGACACTCTACCTATAGCTCTCTACCTCCCTGCCAGTCTACCT